TGCCTTTTCTCTGTCCCCTGTTAACTTTTTGCCATCTTCTCCACACTTTTTGGAGAGTCTTATTAATTTATCAGAACAGAAAAGGAGTCCCTGTATTGAGTCCTCCAGTGTAGAACATAGGAGGATCACATGAATGCAAAGGAAACTCCCCTTCCAAGCTACCTTTGTTTTTTTTTTTGTTAGTTTAAAATATTTGAATCTTAGAATTCATTGAAATGTCATATGTCAGTCAGAATAAAAAACGGCAAAAAAATTTGTATTTTATTAAGCCATCTGATGGTGAAATTAGTTATTAGGCACACATGCATGTATGTTTCCCTATACAGGTCTACAATATTTTTAATCCCCATTGATACAGAATGGGTTATATTTACGATTATCATTACACTGAAATCTTCCTACAGGATTCCTTCAAACTGGCCAAAAAGTCTTGGGATTTGCCAGTATTTGTAACTGTATTTATCAAGGGTTTTCCCCCTTTTGTTTTGTTTTTACTATCCATATGACATTATTCTCACTGGATTGCAGGGTGATTTGTACTGGAACTTCCTAGCTGAGATAAATGTCACATTTCTGTTTTTATTATTTCAATTCCTCCCACTATATTTTGGGACTGTCCCAATGATAACATTTCAAATAGGGACATGGCTTTTGGCACAGACTTTCCCCATTGAGTGGCATTTCTTAGTTGCATTTCCAGTTACCACACTTAACTCGCCCCATACCTGCTACCTTCTTTTTAGAATTATATTTAAGAAGATAACATTGTGGAAGTGCAAAATATTTTTAATTGTGAGACAAAATTTAGGCAAGGAAAAACAAGCTGGCACTGGTTGGTTGCCTGTTGCTAAAGAATGCCTGCTGCCAGTCTTTGCACATCCTTTCACAAGCACCTACACTGAGATGAATCCATTTTCTCTGGAAAATTGAACTATCAATGAATTAGCAAACTAAATCCATTGTAAAGTCCCTGCCCCTGTCTTCCATCGACACTAAAATAATTGTTAATCTCCTCTATTCCTAAACTAACTGAAGAAACATGGTATCAGTTGTTAAAATGTGGTGGGGAGACCCAAGCAGTCATATGTCCTTTACAAGAAGAGCTTGAAATTCCATCTGAAATACAAACTCCTTTCTTTGACTAAGCAGGAGAAAAGCAATTGTCTGCTATTGTACACAAGGAAGTTGCCACAGGAGGCCCACCCAGTTCTATTTTACACTTTGTTTTGTATAGTTTTAGAAGCATTGAACTCAGCAAATGTCTTGCTTCCTACCCAAGCTGCATTAACTTTATCTGTACAGAGCCTAGAAAAGTTGTTTTTTCCCCCCTGGCTTTGGCCCTTTGTAGCTCTTGCTGACAAACAATCTACCTAACCAGGGCCTGATTCCCACTGCATAATAAACTGGTTTGCAAAGTAATATGAAGTGGTTTAAATGGCCTTTGTTCACACTTGCATAAATCTTGGATGAGGTTTGTGGAGGGCCCCTTCCAGTTCCACTGAATTTCCTAAGTCTTTTGCAATAAATCGAATCAGCGCAAGTGTGAACAGGATGCAGATCTGAATCTGTTCCCTGTGATGCAATCATCGACTTGCGCGCCATGGGCAAGGGTGAGCATGAGGTGGGCTTGCCCCATTTCCCAAGCTTCCCTGGGTGCCCCATCTGCCCAAATGTGGCTGATGCCATGGCTGAGGCAGCTACTGCCACTGCCATGACCACCAGTTCTTTCACCCAGGTGGGATGCTCCAGAGTGCTTGTGCCCTCCCCCCAGGGGCATGGGGATGTCTTTCCTCTCCTGGAGAAGTCTTCTCCTTCAATGAGCCACTACAATTGCTGCCTTCCACAGTGCCTATCTTGCCCCCAATGTGGAGATGGGAAGTGAGGTCAGGCACAGGGAGGGAACCTCTGCTGCTGTGACCTCTTGCTCCTTCCTTGGCATATTGCCTGGACTGGGAGCTTTGGGCTTGATAGGGGGGAAAAGAATCCACAGAAGAGGACTTCAATCACACAAATGTAGCATGAATAATACTCCGCTTGTCTAATGGATCCATCAATTTGGATCACAAACTGAATTATTTGTAAGTGGGAATGAGGCCTAGGTTTGGAGCTCTCTTAGCTGTGTGTACCTCTGAACCCCTGAACTCCACATTCAAGGAAGTTTCTTGTTTTGAGAAACAATAAATATTCTCCTTTTATGCAATGCTATGCTATTTCCAGCTAATGTAAACTGTTCTGAAAATGCTGGATTGTTTACAATTCTTTGCACCAGAGGTTGGGGGTGGGGTGGGGGTATAAGAACTGTGACAGAAAAAATGGATTTAATGAGGGCCACATTTTATTAACAGAAAGGTGGGAAGCCTATGTAGAAATTCTATTATAGGCAGCCAATAAATAAATAAATAATAAAACTGGACCATTGCACCTACAACCAAAGGAGGGGGATTAGAGGCACATACCTTCCTCACCTACATTGTTGCTGAGATAGAGGATCTTCTGTGTTTTCAATATAGTGTACATTAACTGATAAGGCAACTTGAATCCCAATTTTGAGGTAAAGGTAGATTATGAATAACACTCATCATCATCCCAAGAGAGAGCAGAAATTAAGACAAAGAATGGGTAAAGATTATGAAATACTGAGATTCAGAGCCTTTGGGGAAACAGCTGTGATTCATGTGGTGATAGGTGCTCAGACTGACAAAACATCATGGGTAGGATCACCATGAAAATGACACTACTTGGAACTTACCACATTATCTGTCAATAGCTCACTGGTCCCTAGATTCTTGGATAGACTGTGAATCCTTGATGGTCCAAAACTCCTGTCAGTATCATCTACTAGACTGAAACAAAGAGATCATGAAGTTGATGAGAACAACAACACAGTAACTGTTAGATGTATAGGATGATGATGATGACCCCCCATCATACTAGATGTTCCAAAAATGCCAAATGGGTGGGGAAAGCTGGTCCCAAGAGTAATTACCTGTTCCTACAATGATTTTTGCAGGAATCAAGAAGCACCAACAATCTTTAAAGTTCCTGTGGTTGCTCACCAATGTTAAGCACTGTAAAATTCCCTGACACTTCTGCCAGATGTAATCAAATCAGCTTAAGCAGTATTAATATTAATATTAAGCAGAACATAGATCAGTAAAGAAAGCCAAGATGGTCTAGTGGTTTGAGCATTTGACTACAGCTCTGGAGACCAGAGTTCAAATCCCTATTCAAGCACAAAAACTTACTGGATGATCTTGGGCAAGTCACATTCTCTCAGTCTTAGAGGGCAGCAATGGCAAAACCCCTCTGAAGAAACTTAATCAGAAAATCCTATGATAGTTTCACCTTAGGGTCTCCATAAGTAAAAAATGACTTGGAGGTATGCAACAAGCTCAGTAGGATCTGACTAACTTCTCCAATAGCACTGAACTATAGTTGATCAAATAAAATAAGACCAAATCAATCTAATAAAAAGAATAAATGCTCACCCAATAAAACTATCTCCAACTACATTCGGTACAGAATAGGCAAAAATGCTTCCAACCAAAGGTAAACAATTCTCTTACTGCCCCAAGCAACCAGCACACCCTATACTTAACAAAGGGAAGATGAGCAGATAATGTGAAATCCAAAGAGAGGTGAAGGTTGGGTCTGACAAGGTGAGGTAAGGTTATAAACCTTCACCCACCCTACCCATCACCCCACTGGGGAGCATACATATTCACCATTTATGTAGCAACATCACAACTCTTTCCACCTTCCTGCTGGAGGTTGTTCACCAAACCTTAACTAGTGACTACAGAAAGAGGATATAAATGTGCAGAGAGTCAGATGGTAATGTGGATTGACTGTTGGACTAGATCTCTGGGAGACTCGGGTTTGAATCCCCATTTACCCATGGGGTAACTCACTGGGTGACCTTGGGCAAGTCACTCTCTCTCAGTCTGAAAGAAAGCAATGGCACCCTCTGAACAAATCTTGCCAAGAAAACCTGAAGGTAGTGTTGTTTTAAGGTTACTATACTTTAGAAATAACTGAAGGCACATGACAACAAAAATGTGCATTCAACTATTGTCAAACAGGAACATGTCAACCAAAAATCTCACAGCCAACTTTTCTTCAGTGTTAAAATTCAGTATCTAAGGTACTGTCCAAAGACCTACAGAAATTGCAAGAATCCAATTGAGTTCTGAGAATCATATGAAAACAAAATTGCCCTATATTCAAAAAACACATACCTGTTAATCAAAGATTAACCTGCAATAAATGCAAGATGTAAGTCTAAGTTTTCTTTGGTGTCAGATAAAAGATTACACACCTGGATTTGAAGACAACTCCAGTGCAGATAATTCTTTTCACTCCCATCATCTGGATTTTGTCTCTTTTGTGTCTGGCACACAGCCATCAGAATTATATGGGTCGGCCACACTCTTCAATTATATTCAGTCAGATGGTAATAGGCTCTTCTGCTAGCTTCCTACCATGCCTCCTTTCAAAAAGCACAATTTAAATAATGTTAAAGCACTCACTGTCCTACAGTTTAAGCATCCAATATACCTGAACAACATGCTAATGCATATTGGAACCTATTCTTAGTGGCAGGGGTTTGGCTAGGGCCGCTTTCTAATATCTTCCCATCCTCATTAGTACAGTCTAGATAAGGTTAGCAGTGGCTATAGCTGCAAAAGTGTAAGACTACTTACTGTGGTCTCACTGAACTCATTTGTATGCCTAAGATCAGATGACAAGTTATACACTTATCCTACTGTTTTCTATGGGACTATGCCTCCTTCCAAAAAATATAATTCAAAGAAGATCAAAGCACCATCTGTCCTGAATTTGCAACTGTCCAATATACATAGTAGAGATGATACCACATATGCATGAAAGCTACAGTGTGCTAGATCCAGATTTAGTTCTTAGAGCCTGCACATTGAAATCAATGGGTCTTGTTTATGATTAGGTTAAGTCTTGTAAGTTAGCATCTTAGCATCACTAAAACTGGAATTAAACCTGTATGCATAAAAGACAATGATACCGTTCCAATTACTAATGTATGAGCCAGCTAATAGATTGCTGTTTTCATTGGGGCCAGCCCGACCAATAGGCTGAGTGAGGTGGCCACCTGAAATAAAAGATGTTTGGTGCCATGACAAACTTTTGGTTCAATGTATCTTAGGGGGGTTGCAGACTGCCAGAAATAGTGCAAATTGAGTCCACTTTAAGGGTTAGGGTTAGTGCTAGGGAATCATGGGAACTGTGTGTTTTTTTTCTGAGACATTGAGCCTTCTCTGTCAGAGAACTCTGGTGCCACAATAAAATACAGTTCCCATGATTCCCTGACCCTAAAAGTGGACTCAATTTGCACTATTTCTGGCAATCTGCAACTCCCCTTAGTGGGTGGATGGAAGTGCCATTTGCTGCTCCATCTCAGCAAAATATTCAGGTCTGGCTTTCCTCATAAGAAAAAAAAAAAGAACAATGTTGTGCCTTTTTCATAGGTTATATAATGGGATTATGAAGCAGTTTTATTCAGAGAAGAGAAAATATACAATAGATTTGTGGGATCTCTCCAGCCTTTTTACATACATATATAAGAAATGGGAAAATTCACAAGAAAAGCTCCCATTGTCCTCTTTTTTTTAAAAAAAATAATAAATCTGAGCAAACTAGATAATTCAGATGTGAATCTGTTGATTAACAATGTTAGAGCATCTGCAATAGGCAGGAACAATAGAAGGAAATGTGGGTAGGGTTGGCTACCCTGTTTATAATTAGCAATTGCAAGACTCTTAGCTGTGTTCTCCTAAAAGAACATGAATATTCACACTGAGGCAGTCCATTATGTTTTGTTGGCTTCTGTAACCATAGCTGCTTGTACAAGAGTCAAACACATACTTATGTGTGTCTGAAAACTGCTTCAAGTGATTCTTGGTGATTATCGTGGGGGAAGCTATTCTCTGCAATAAAATGAGAGCTGTGTATCTATCCAAAATCGTTTTTGCACAGGCAACAACAGCTCCAGCTGATCATAACCCACCCATCCCCTTCACAGTGGAGCATGCTTACAGCTTGCTATGAAATCTATGAAAGGATTGCTGCTGGCAACATGAGGCACTTTGACATGTCACAAAATTGGCGTTTTTAACCACCCTCCTTAAACAGTGAGTCTCTCAGAGAAGATTTCAGGACACCTGGAACGCTTCTTGTTTGACAAAAATTAAACAATTGAGACTGGGCAGTTATTCTGGTGGATTCCCCTTCCCCATCCATGTTTACCAAGCGACAATGTGCCTGCAAGTATACCTCTTATGCCAGTTTGGTAGAAAATACTGTACTTTCTATATACATGCTTTCTATAAATGCCAGATGCAGGAATATAGAGTGACTAATACTGAATCATAACAATTCCATCTGCATAAGCAGTTGGTGGCAACCACAGCGAAGTTTTATTGCTCGTCTTCCTTTATCACCTCCCAAGGACATGTGGTGGAAGAAATGCTCAATGTACTTCTGACAAGCACCAATGACACCAGAGAATTTTCCTGGGGAGAGCAGAAAAGTGCATAAGAAGAGACAGTGCAGCAGAGAGCTACCACTGATAGCATTCAGCAAGAGTCAACAAGAGTGCTGATAGGACTTTTCTTCCTGTAGCTTCTCACCTTGACTCAAACTGCCAGGGATACTCTTCAAATTAATGTAAGCAAACACTGGGCAAAAGGGCAAAAGGAGACCTTGGTCTAAATGCAGCATGGCACTTGCACTGCAGCATGCTAGCCTTTCTTCTCTAAACCTCCTCCCTGGAGCTCTCACGGTTGACTGAAAATAAGTTCAGAGGGTTTCCAAGCTGCATAGGGTCTTTTCACACTGCACAGTTAGAGTACTGTGATTCCACATTAACTGCTATGGTTCCACCCCATGGAATCCTTGCATTTGTAGTTCAGGGAAAGGTATTTAGGGTTTTTAGTTGTAGAGTGCTGGTGCCTCACCAAACCCCAGGATTCTACAAAAGGCAGCAAAGGCATTTAAAGTGGAACAATGCTATTTATAACTGCATACCAATGTTTATTTATGTTTATTTAATGTTCCCCCTTTGTATGTTTTTAAGAGTTTTTAACTGGTTGCATTCTGCCCTTCTCATGCTTGTCTATGACTGTAATTTTGAACTTTGCTATAACTATATTATGAAAGGGCACACTGAGAATTTTTTTTAGAATGCATAAAGGACTGTAGTGGGAATGTGAGGTTATCCTTACATGCTATAGCTTAGCATTTTATAAGTAGATGCTACAATTTTCTTTGTATAACACTCTGGTTGCACAAACATTTGGACAAGAGACCACCAGTGAAATATCAGGTGCTGCAGGCTATGGTTCAGAGGAAAGAACTGGCCAAACTACCTCTGAGTATTCCTTGCCTTAGAACATCCTATGAAATTCATGAGGTCACCATAAGTCACAAAGTACATACATACAGATGTCCATGGAGTTCAATATACACATACAAACAAGAATATGGATAGTAGCCAAGATTTCTTAATTTATAGTAATAATAAACAAATATTATGTCCTTCCATATTCAATCTGCCTTTTCAGATTGTATCTTTTTAATTGGACTGCTCTTTCATCCATTTATATGCATATTCTAATTCCATATCTCTACTTTCCACTTGTAAATTTTGTATCCTATCTCCTTTGCCCTTCTGCTGTAGGATTTTTCTTGCGTCCTATAAACTCAACCTGAAAAACAACAGGTTTGCCTTAAACCTAGGGTTACTGCTCCCATTAGCGTGCAATTTTTCCTTCACTAAACCACTCTATTTGGTTCAGTGAATGATTCATCATCCCAAACAATATCAGAGTCACTTGTACAGGGGAAATCCAAAGATATAGTCATGTTAGTCTGTAGAATCCATATTTAGAGAGATCTTGTAGGACCTTTGAGACTAAAGGCCTTTGCAGACTGCCAGAAACAGTGCACATTAAATTGAGGCACTGCCCTGGCTCAGTGCTAGGGAATCATGGGAACTATAGTTTATTGTGGCACCAGAGCTCTCTGACAGAGAAGGCTCAATGTCTCAGAAAAAAATACAATGCCCATGATTCCCTAGCACTGAGCCAGGGCAGTTAAAGTGGACTCAATTTGCACTATTTCTAGCAGTCTGCAAAGGCCCTAACTGAAAGAAAGAAGTTGACAGCATAAGCTTTCATAGACTTCAATCTACTTCCTCAGAT